GTCTTGCTCACTCTGACCTGCTCAGATATACAGCCTAGAATCACACACCCGTAAGTAACACCATCCACAGTGGATTGGGCCTTCCACCATCATCAACCAAGAAAATGCCCTCACAGACAGGCTCACGGGCCCCTCTGATGGAGGCAATTCTTCAATTTAGGTCCCCTCTTCCTAGGGACTCTGGTTTGTATCAAGTTGACAAAAAAAAAAAAAAAAAAAACCAGCATATACAAAACTGAAGGATACATTAAACATATTTCAAACATATACTGCTAAGTAAGGAAAACCACAGACGGGCAGGTAAGGTGTTTTATAAAGTCCACAGATTAAAATACAAATGGTTCTATGCTTGTTTGTGGATATAAGTGGGCAAAAGAAGCACACTAACCTCTTCAAGTGAATACTTTGGACAGGGACAGGAAGGTAATTTAAGCTAACGCTATTGGGAGTTTTAAAAGACTTACCTTATTTTAAATTATGTGAATGGGGGAGTGGGTTATGTGCACCAGAGTCAACAAACGCCAGAAGAGGGTGTCTAATCCCTTAGAGCTGGAGCTGCAGGAGGCTATAAATTGCCTGATATGGGAGTTGGGATCCGAACCCTGGTCCTCTGTGAGAGCAGCGAGTATCTGTAACCTAGCACTGGGTGCTGAGACAGGGGGATCCCTGGGGCTCAATCAATCTTCGTCTGACCTTGTCGTGCATGCACATGGGCACATGTACACGTGTACCTACACATACGCATGCACACACATGCACATGGGCACATGTAAACGTGTACCTACACATATGCATGCACACACATGCACATGGGCACATGTACACGTGTATCTACACATACGCATGCACACACATGCACATGGGCACATGTACACGTGTATCTACACATACGCATGCACACACATGCACATGGGCACATGTACACGTGTATCTACACATACGCATGCACACACATGCACATGGGCACATGTACGCGTGTACCTACGCATACGCATGTACACATGCACATGGGCACATGTACGCGTGTACCTACGCATACGCATGCACACACATGCACATGGGCACATGTACGCGTGTACCTACGCATACGCATGCACACACATGCACATGGGCACATGTACGCATGTACCTACGCATACACATGCACACACATGCACATGGGCACATGTACGCGTGTACCTACGCATACGCATGCACACACACGCACATGGGCACATGTACGCGTGTACCTACGCATACGCATGCACACACACGCACATGGGCACATGTACACGTGTACCTACACATACGCATGCACACACACGCACATGGGCACATGTACGCGTGTACCTACGCATACGCATGTACACACACGCACATGGGCACATGTACGCGTGTACCTACGCATACGCATGCACACACACGCACATGGGCACATGTACGCGTGTACCTACGCATACGCATGTACACACACGCACATGGGCACATGTACGCGTGTACCTACGCATACGCATGCACACACACGCACATGGGCACATGTACGCGTGTACCTAAGCATACGCATGCACACACATGCACATGGGCACATGTACGCGTGTACCTACGCATACGCATGTACACACACGCACATGGGCACATGTACGCGTGTACCTACGCATACGCATGCACACACATGCACATGGGCACATGTACACGTGTACCTAAGCATACGCATGCACACACATGCACATGGGCACATGTACGCGTGTACCTACGCATACGCATGCACACACATGCACATGGGCACATATACGCGTGTACCTACGCATACGCATGCACACACACGCACATGGGCACATGTACGCGTGTACCTACACATACGCATGCACACACACGCACATGGGCACATGTACGCGTGTACCTACACATACGCATGCACACACATGCACATGGGCACATGAAAAGTTAACTAACGAAATAAAAAGGAATGCTTGCTTTTATCCAATACCACTGAACACTGCTGACTCAGTTTTACTCTCTATCAATACTGAAAACAATTTTAAAAAGCAATACAAGTTGGCAGAGAGAGGACAAAGGGAAGATAAATAAATACACGAGTTCCTATTATCTCATCTTTAATATAGTAATGAAATGATTATGTCTAAGATTAAAATAAGTAGCTTGGAAAGAGAAGAAAGGAGATAGCGATGGGTGCAAAGAGGCACACCCCTGTATCCCAGCACTCAGGAACCTAAGTAGGGAGATTACAAGTTCAAGGCCAGCCTAGGCTAGAGAGATCCTATCTAACAAAACAAAAAAGGAAAAAGAAATAACTCATACAAAATAACTCTGTATGTGCCCTGCCCACCCATTCCATTCTATTACTCTGTATGTGCCCCGCCCACCCATTCTATTCTATTACTCTGTATGTGCCCCCCACCCATTCTATTACTCTGTATGTGCCCCCCATTCCATTCTATTACTCTGTATGTGCCCCGCCCACCCATTCCATTCTATTACTCTGTTGCTGTCATTCTCATGTTTGGACCTGATTCACCCATGCTTCATCCATATTTACAGAAAAAGACAATGAACACATGCCAGTGATGGCTAATTCTGAGCATTTGAGTTACCAGTCTCTTTCATCATTGTTCATTTCTGTGCTGTTTAAATATTTTGATGGCCATGCACTTTATTCATTAAATCACTGAAGTATTTGTTTTAAAATCCAAAAATAAAAGCAAAAAATGTTATGCAAGTGTAGGCATGTACACACGCATGCACATGAGTGCACACCTATACACAGACAGAAGTTGAAACTACAAGCAGCGTAGAAAGATACAATTGCAGAATCAACGCTGCCCACCCTTCCGCTCTTCAGTGTCCCCATGCTGCCTTCCCAGAAGCAAGCACAGCACCTTGACAGTTCCCTCCCTCCCTTCCTTTCCTTCCTTCCTTCATCCCTCCCTTTGTTTCCTTTCCTTCCTTCCTCCCTTTGTTTCCTTCCTTTCTTCTTTCCTTTCCTTTCTTCCTTCCTTCCTTCATTTCCTTCCTTCCTGTTTCCTTCCTTTCTTCCTTCCTTTCCTTCCTTTCCTTCCTTTCTTCCTTCCTTTCCTTCCTTTCTTCCTTTCTTTCCTTCGTTTCCTTCCTTCCTTCCTTCGTTTCCTTCCTTCCTCTGTTTCCTTCCTTTCTTCCTTCCTTTCCTTCCTTCCTTCTTTCCTTTCTTCCTTCCTTTCCTTCCTTTCCTTCCTTTCCTTCCTTTCTTCCTTCCTTTCCTTCCTTTCTTCCTTTCTTTCCTTCCTTTCTTCCTTCCTTTCCTTTCCTTTCTTCCTTCCTTCCTTCGTTTCCTTCCTTCCTTCCTTCGTTTCCTTCCTTCCTCTGTTTCCTTCCTTTCCTTCCTTTCTTCCTTCCTTTCCTTCCTTTCTTCCTTCCTTTCCTTCCTTCCTTCTTTCCTTTCTTCCTTCCTTCATTAAAGAGCTGGTGAGCTGACTTAGAACCAGAATTCAGTTCTCAATCCTCCAGTGTGGGTCACTGTCTGTAACTCAGGGGATTTCTCTTCTAGCTTCTGAACTCAGCGGACACACATATGGTCCATGGGCAAACATGTAGACAAGACACCCATATACTTTTTTAAAAATCATTCTACACCATAACATACAGATACACTTGTCTGGTATTGTTCCTTAATAATATATGGCAAATTTCACAGAGATAATTTAACTTTTTAGTTTTGTTTAAAATGGCATTAAATAGCTAATTTTGGAAATACTATCACAAGTCAAAAGATAGACGACAGAAAGAATTACAGTTTGTTCCAGAACGTTTTAACAGAAACCCTCCCCCTTTTCTCCCGTAAGTTTTGTTTTCTCTCAGTTGGGAATGGAACCCATGACCTTAAATGTACACTTGGAAACTTCTACCCACCTGGCTACATCCTCAAAATTTTCCCCAATTCTTTCAAATTATAGAGCTGGCCTGAAACCTGAAGAGAAGTTCTGGGAGCATAAGACTCCTCTAGTTCTTGTACAACGGCAGCAGAGCCAATGCTAATAGCTGCCCGTTCTGTTCTCTCTTTCTCCGCTAACACAAGCTCTATTTTATCCAAGATGACAATATGTACTGTTAAAAATAAGAGCTACTATTCTCCCACAGACGCCCTTCGTTTCTTAACAGGGCACATTACATTTATGAGATTGAATTGCCATTGTGAGGGGCTAAAAGGCCCAGTTCTAGCCAGTGAGGTGAAAATCAAAGTTTACTAGCTGGGGGATAGGGAAATGCTCGATTTCAAATAGAGAAAGAACAAATAGAGAAAGTACTTTCGCCTTACCCTTCATCTGCTTTTCGAGCTGAGACTATATGAGGTACCTAGAGGTTCCGAGGCATCTTGAGACATAAAGATTAAAGCTACATGATAAGAGTGGCAAAGCAGAACCTAGCGTATACAGTGGTCCGGTCCCTGGCATAAGGGAAGGAGAGAGAGGAAAGAGGGGGAAGAACAAGAAAGAAAGAAAAAACAGAAAGAGGACGATGAGTTTGAAACCATCCTCGGGTACCTGAAGGCAGCCTGGGTTACATGAGGCCCTGTCACAGAAAACAGAAAGGAAATTAGCGGAGCGTGGGGGCTCACGCCTTTATCCCAGCACCAGGAATTGGAAGGCTGAGGCCCTGCCTCACAGTTAAGAACTCAAGAGTGAAAGAACAACGCATAGCAGGGTAGGATCTGGGTTCCCCTTTTGTCTCTCTGACACGCACTCAAAGATCCTCCCAAAGCTTTGTTTGTTTCCTAGATGATTCTAAACATGTCTCAGATAATCACAAGCCATCACAGGGGATCGATCTCTTCACCACAGACTCAGGGCCTGGCAGTGAGTGAAGCCATAGCAGTGAAGGGGACAATAAAAACAAAGGTCTCCACTCAAGCCATCGGTAGCCCTGGACACCTGGCCACATGCAGGAAATCCCGGCCAGCGATTCTGTAGTGTCGGTTCTATTTATGCGTAAAGAAATTTAGCCCATGCTTTCCTGTCAGAGATACTCACTGAGGCTCCCTGGGAGAATCAGGGCGGGTGCACAGCAGCCCAGGAGGCTCCTGTTCTTGGAAGAACTTCCACTGATGCTCTGACCATGGCCCGGTCCCTAGTGACCTCCAGGGTCGCTGTTCTGAGAGCCTCAGGTAGGAGCTGCACCCCCTCCAGGGGTCGCTGTTCCCCCAGACCCACTACAGCGACTCCACCTGGCGGCGAGTCTTAGGCCGGCCGCTAGGGGCCGCTGTCCCCCCGGACCAGTGCACTACAGCGACTCCACCCGGCGGTGAGTCCTCGGCCGCCCGCCAGAGGACGCTGTTCCCGCGAAAACCCCCGCCGAGGCCACGCCCCCACGGTCGGTTGTCTTCCGCCGCCCGGGAGGGAGCCGGCTCCACACTGCGGGACCGCGGGGCCGGGGCGGGTGTTTTCCCTGACGGACGTGACCTGCGTCCCGGCGGCGGCTGCTCGGCGACGCGCCAGGCCCAGCGTGCGAGCGGCCGGCCGGCCGGGCGCGCGCTCTCGGGTCGGGCTCGCCACACCCTCCGCCTCTCCCCCTCCCCCAGGAAACGACAGCTGCGCGGGGCTGGCGCCGCCTCCCGCCACCTCCCACGTCCTCCCCGCCGTCGCCCGGCGCCCCAGCCCCGCCGTCGTCGCCGCGGCGCCCCCCGCCTCCCCGCTAGCCCGGCCGGCGGCTCTGTCCCGCCGTCGCCCGGCATGAACATCATGGATTTCAACGTGAAGAAGCTGGCGGCCGACGCGGGCACCTTCCTCAGCCGGGCCGTGCAGGTACGGCGGCGACGGTTGAGGACGGGGCGGTGGCGCCGGGGAGGCCGAGGGGAGGGCGACGCCGACGACCCGGCCTGCTGCTGGGCGCGGCCTGACGCCCCGGTCCCGCCGGCCGTTTCCGCGTCGCTCTACCCAACCGCCGCTCGGCGCCGAGCGAGGCGAGCCCGGACGCGGCCCCGAGCGTCCGCCACCGCGGACACACCTTGGGCTCACCCCGGGCCGGAGGCCTCGGTGCCCCGGCGGGCGAGCCAGGGCAGGCTGAGCACCTCCGCGCCACCCCCACCCTTCCCTTGGGTCGCCCTCGCCCTCCGGGCCGCGTCCAAGGAGGGAGTTTCCTTTTCCTGCCCCACTGCCAGCTCTGTTCCCACCAGCCCTCTCCGCCCCTGGAGCAGCCCGTGGGGGGAATGGAGATTGCCTGTCCCTGTCGGCGTCCCAGCTTCACCAAGGACGCAGGAAACCTAAGATTAGGGGCGCCCTGACCCATTCCCCAAATAGGATCTAGAGCAGGGGTGAGAAGCGGGCAGGACTCGTGTTGTTGTGGCTGTGGTCACGTTGGTATGCTTCTGGCACCCTTGGAGGGGGAAAGTTCACTGCGGCTCCTTATTCTGTAATCAAGGAAGGGAACTTGGGCAATAGGGAACTTGGGCAGATTTTTACAGTCAACACATGATGCAAACGCAGTTAAATCTATGAACAGATGTCAATTTCACAACACGGGTTATAAACAATCTGGTATTTGTGTTACTGACATAGGGTAGCAACAGAATTCTCTTCTGTAAGGAGAAAAGTAATGCCCCGTGTGCCAGAATTACTCCGAACTATATGTCTCCCTTCTGTTACTTCATTTCGTGTATCCTTTACCCCACTTTTATTGACACCGTTGATATCATATTGAGTTGTCCTTGGCAAAAGAATGGGAGAGTCCCCCAATTAATGACCGCCTAGCTTATGAAAAATAGTGTGACGAGCAGTTTGCTGTCCATTTAACATATTCGCTGCACCCTCTGTCACCTCGCCAGAGACGCAATGGTAACCCTCCTTTGGATAAAAGGAAGCAGCCTCAGAGATGTAAATAGCTTGCTTGACTTGTGTGGCTAGTTGTCAGCTGTTGCCCTCTGGCCTACTCCGACACTAGAAGCTGGTTTTTCTGAGTGAGCACTGCAGGCTTATGTGTAGACTAGGGACACGAGGCGGCCCTAAAAGACCTTGAAGATCATTTGTTATCAACAGCGAGTAACTGAGAGATGGGAAATTCTAATTCCATCTTGCTTTTGACTTCCTGAGCCGATGTGATGAGTGACAAGCTAGCTGCCGTACTTTGTCCTTTATCCTCCGTCCTTCCCAGATATGTATGGCTAAATAAATGGGAGACGAAAGAAAAACATTTTTAAACTCAAGATCAACTCCACTAGAGAACAGAGTCTGGTATTTTTTGTTTAGTGTTGCTTACCTGTATTCTGGATATTTAATGAAGATTTGACATTTCAGAATGCCATAGCTTAATACAGTTGTTTCAGACACATAATGTGTTCTGCTTCAACGGCGCACATTTATGAAATTCAATCTAAATTATTGAGAGACTCAGTTTTAAAAAATTAAATCTGGAAAAACTTAAAAGCTGCACTTCCCAAATGAATTTTAATTGTTCGTTGTTTCAAGTGCTTTTTAAAAAGGTTTTTAAGTTGTATCCTAATATGTGAGCTGGCAAATAATTTTCAGTCTTATTCAAGCATATGTTCCATGCTTAGCTTCTGTATTAGGAACACCACTGGCTAGCAGCTAATACACTCAACAAAGTGTTTCTCCTCATGAAACTTAGAATCTCACAGAACACAGACTAGAGTAGCAGGTGATGGTAGTGAATAGCGTGCCAGTAGAGGCGATTGTTGCAGCAGTGGGGGAATTCGGCATGCCCTTCTCAGGATGAGTACAGACCTGAGTGAAGTAATGAGACACAGTATGTGGAGGTTTTACTTGGCTTTTGTTTTGGAAGAAAGGTATTCCAGACAAAAGAAACAAGTTCAAAGACTCTGGGGCTCTAGGGATACTGGGGAGATCCAGTGGGAAAGAGCTGTGGCCACACGGGCTGCGGGTGTTTGTGATTTAGTTGGCAGTCTTGGCTGTCACATTAGCCCTGGAGCATGAGAAAAAGATGTGTGAAAAAGGACCCCTTGGATTTTGGATTCAACCATTTTTTATTAAAAAGGGAAAATTTAAAATGGAGAAAGTCTCCTTTAGTATTAAGGTTCCTTTTATATTGTCTGTAACTATTAATGCCACATGCTGAAATATTATGGTTAACCTTACAGTTTGGGGTTTGCCTGTACGGTTGAGAGCAGATTAGCAGAGCGGTGATAGTTATTGAAGCTGAATTGTGGGTACAAGCTTACAAAGTTTCATTATACTGTTTCCACTATACTATTAGTTTTTTGTATGTTTGACACATTCCACGGTGTTTTTTAATTAAATTTTTAAGGAAAAGGGGGTGTTTCTAAAATAAAACATGAAAGCTAGAATGCTGGCATAGTAGTTTACAACAAAACCCTGTTTTTATTCCAACATTTAGTCAATGACCAAGTTACTCCTCTGAGCTGTGGTGATGCGGGTACAGTGCCAGCTTCGTGCTAGGAATAGTTGTGAGAACTGTGAGCCAGGCTTTCTCTGTCTCCAAGGAGTTGCCTTTCAAATCAGATTGGATGTTAAAAAAATGGACCATTCCCTGGGCAACTACTGTAGGTACCTTCATGTCACCTAGACATTTTTATTAGAAATTAAATTTCTTGTTTAAAAAAACATGAGTCAAAACTATTCAAGTATATAAATAGATAAGTCTTGACTTACAACAATATTAGGACAGAATGTATCCTAACTCATCACAGTCCCTGCCTTAAAGCAGTGTTTAGAGAGAATCTATGAGTTAGACGTTCTGTCCTCATGCTGTTTTCCTGTGCTACAGATGAAATAGTATGAAAAACCGCATCCAATTATACTTTTTGAGAAGTTGGGCCCCCAAATGTAAGATCCTGGGAAATTACTATTTTTATAAGTTTGCATTTTGATAAAGAAACAGAAATATAGCATTAGCAATGATACTGTGTATCTGCCCTAGCCCCCTCCCACTTTTTTTTTTAATTCAAGATAACATTTAAGCCATCCTTAATTTGGTAATTAACTGAGTATCTTATAAGAAGCAAAGATAGACCTCCAGTGCTGTAAACAAGGAAGCACAGGGTATGGTATATTTGAACTATGGGAGTAAAATGAAGATTGTTAACTTCTTGAGGTCAGCATAAAATTATTCAATCCCAACTCTGACACCTCAGACAAAATGTTTAATAACTCCAACCCTCAGCTTATTCCTCACTAGAATTATTATCCCTATCCTGTAAGTTTTTTTTAATATGATACATACCTTAGTTTATGGAATTTTTGAACATAAACTGAGCCATGACATTGGGAAGTTCAGAAGCATGACAAAGATGCATTATCTTCTTTGGGGAAAAAAAATCATTGTAGAAATAAGCTACACATGGCTGCGCATACCCCAATGCCTAAACTCAGGAAGTAAGGCAGGAAAATCAAGTTGAAGGCCAGACTGGGTGTATATGCATGGCTGTCTGCCTCTCAATAATAATGATGATAATAGCAAATGTGTTAAAATTTTTGAAAAACTAATAACCAAGCTATGTTTACTGAAATATGAGGCATATGTATGAGTATAGTAACGCTAGAAAACTGAGTGTGAATGTGGGAATGTTTGCAGGTCTTCAGTGCCGTGCTCATGTGGGCCTTCCTCCAGCTGTTTTCTAGACTCTAGGGAAACCTGCCTTTTATCCATGCGGAGGCTGCTGTTACTGTCTTTGAGGGTTTGTTTTGTCCATTGTCTAAAGTAAAAGTTTTTATTTTTGTACAGTCTTACTGTATATGAGTCACTGTTGGAGTTTGCTTTCTATCGCTGTGATAAAGACATAATTAAAACCAACCTGGAAAGAGTTCACAGTCCACCAGCAAGGGAAGCCAAGGCAGGAACCCACGGAAGAGACCAGGTCCACCTGCCTACAGACGATTCTACCCATAGTGGGCTGGGTCCCCCTACCTCAGGTTCACAAGAAAATGCCCACAGACATGCGTACAGGCCAATCTGATGGAGGGAGTTCCTCCTTTAGTTTTTTTTTTTTTAAACCAGGTATATGAAGTTGACAACCATGATTAGGTGTCACAGTTAGATATTTATTTATAAGTTATATAAAGTTTGCTTTTTTCTTGTTTCTTTGAAGACTGTAAGTCCATAGCAAATAAATGGCTTGTTAAAAATATCATCTTTGCTCTCTTATATTTTCCTATATTTTTAAGACCAAAATATAAAAAATAATAAGCCAGCCGGGCGGTGGTGGCGCACGCCTTTAATCCCAGCACTCGGGAGGCAGAGGCAGGTGGATCTCTGTGAGTTCGAGACCAGCCTGGTCTACAAGAGCTAGTTCCAGGACAGGCTCCAAAGCCACAGAGAAACCCTGTCTCGAAAAACCAAAAAAAAAAAAAAAAAAAAAAAAAAGAAAAGAAAA